CACATGTACCTGCGGCAGAACCCCGGACAGGTTCACTCGCCGCATTCCCTCACAGCGTTATATCCCTGTCGGCCTTGCCTCCTACGGCTGATGTCCCGACACCCGCTGCTATGCGGCGCTACCTGGCCAGCCCCAAGGGGGGGGCCTTTACTGTACAGCCCCAGCACGCCGCCGTGAACCCGCTGGTCTCGTCCATATCATTCCAATAAGGACCAGCCTGGGCCACAGGGATCAGACGGCCCCGACCTCTCAGACAACCCAAACTATTTGGATTTACTCATCAAGTTCCCTCAGTTGGGTCTGAACACGAGCCTGTATTTTCTCCCCACGGCGTCGCGCCATAAGGCAAAAATGGGGCGCGGCCTGGCGCAGCCGCAAAATCAGTTTGTAATTGCACTTCAAGCAACCCCGCGAATACAACACACCCCCATGCGACCTTACCGCCGTTTTGTGTCCCAGGACGGGGCGCGATAAAAAAAAGGACCAAAAATAAAAATCGGAAAAATAAAAATTGGAAATAAAATAGAGCAATGAATAGCATTGTCGGGGAACGGCGGGGCTGTTGGCTCCTCACCAGTCGCGTGGATTGGGCCCGCCGCCATGCCCGATAGCAAAAGCCGAGGGGGATAGCCCTGCGGCCCTCAACCCCGTTGGATCCCTTCTTCATGCTCAGCTTCAGCTACCACGCCGACGCTCGCCGGCCTCGACCCCAGGACCTCTGCCGTGTCAATCCAATACCGTAACCAATAGGGCTAAGCCCAAGCCTAAGACCAACATGCCCGAATTCCTAAATAAAGAGGTACAACAGTAACAGCATGGCCGTCCAGGGCCGCAAAGTGCTCCGCAGTATTCTCCCGCCTACGCCTACTTACGCAACCACCAAAAAAACCCGCGCTGGCCATACCGACCGTGCCACAGCTACCCGTACTTGGTCGTATCTGTCCGTTCCCATCATCTGGATTCGACGCAGGGTTACTCTGGGTCGTCAACCATAATCCTAAATCTTGGTTTAGTCAGAAATAATATTTATAATAACATAAACAACCAGAGTCCGTGCCGGTTTTACAATCAAGATCAAAGAAAAAGATAACGCACGCCTTAAGCCTGCGCGCCCACACACCCTCTATTTTCGGATGTTATAGTCAAACCTTCAGTCAACGGCAAGTTGCTGTTTTTGCGGTCTACTCAAACTTCAACTAAACTTAATTTTTTATTTTTTTTTGTCACTTGCAAAGAACAGGGCGGATACCCTTGTAAGGGTATTCGCGCCGACACCGCAAGCAACTCAAACCAGGAGCCAAAGTAAGGCGGGCCCTAGTCAGCCGCCAAGCCAAGCGCCAAGTCAGGCACCTCAACGGAAGAGACTCGAGCCTGAGCGTAGAAAGGAGGTGGTCGAGGTCCAGGAAGAAGAGGACGAGGGAGACGACACGGAGGATGAGAGGCTTCGTCAGGAGGAGGATCGGTGGACGGAGCAAAGAGCCCAGAGAAGGGAGGCTCAGGAGAGAGTCGAGCCAGGTCTACAGGATGGTGTGCCCAGGAAAAGAAAGTACACCGTCAGGTTGGAGGACTTCGACGTGGAAAGAATGGTGGACCGGCTCCTTGAAGGTCATAACGACCTTATGAACTTAAAAGATATTCTGGCGTCCGCACCAATACTCTGGGAGGAGTTGAAAGGGCGATTGTCTCGAAGGCTAGTGCCCAACGTACATCTGAGCGTCGTCCAGCCCAGGGAAGTGGGGTGGACACAAGCTGGGACAAGGATGGACTGGAAGTGTGCGGCATGTGGGTTAAGTGGATTTGGTAGTGAAGGAAAAGAAATGCGTGACAATGATGGATACGGGCACTGAGATGAACATCATTAGGGAAAGAGATGCGCTCATGCTTGGGATGAAAATCGACCGCGCAGATCACGGCGTGCTGCACGGGGCCAACTGCAAGGCAGTTTTTTGCGACATCCCGTCGAATGTGATCATAGAGATTGGCAAGGTGCGAGCGAGGACGTGTTTTTTCGTCATGCCGGATGTGGACCATCCCATCCTTCTGGGCAGATCGTCCATGTGCAGGACAAAGACCTTGATCTTCAATAAGCACGATGGGACGATGATATTGCTTTTCAGTGACCCAGCCTGTGGGAACTACGAAGTCGTCACCTGTCGGAACACGGGGCCAGGGAGCGAGCGGAACAGGCCTAACCCCGGCTCGTTCACTTATGTGGAATCGAAGAACGACCGGCGGAGGCTAGCGGAGGAGTCCGAGGAGGAAGGTGGGGCGGAGATGCTGTCACTAAGCCTTATAGACATAAGCAAGGCTATGGAGATTGTGGCAACGCATGAGATGGCGGACCCAGAGGCCATTAAGGCCTTGCGAGAGCACGTTTTGGAGTGCCCACAGGCAGGAGAAGTGGAGCTTATCTATCGACTTCCTGGAGGGAGGAAAGGGTCTGCGATGGCACAGGCGCAGACGACAAGCCGACCTTTTTTAGGGGACGGCTTAAGCAGCACCCAAAGGCGGTACAAAACGGTAGATAAAAAGTGCCCCCCTGTTCCCGTGCTCGTTACGGAAGATGAAGAGGCCTATTACGAGCGGGAGCGAGGATTGATATGGCGAATGTAAGAGCAGACACTGAGGGATCCATGTCGTATCAATGATGAAAATGAAGAGAAGCTGATAGTCAGGAAGCCAGGCTTTCTTTCGCCCCAGGAGAGGACGTTAATGGTGCAGCTAATGAAGAAGAGGCATCGCGCATACGCTTTTCATGACGACCAGCGTGGGAGGCTGAATGTGGACAAGATCCCGATGATCCGAATCCACACGGTCCCCTAAGAGCCTTGGAATCTAAGGGGTGCGCGATACCCAAACCCTGATCAGGGGAAGATGGTGGTGGACTATCTGGATGGCAAGATGCGCACGCATATTGGCGGCTACCCTAGCGGCCCATATGCTTCCCCTTGGTTCTGCTTCATTAAGCCGAACGGGACGCTACGGTGGGTACAGGATCTGCAACGACTAAATGCGGTAACGGTGCGAGATGCGGGAGGCTTGCCGAACGCAGATGCACTGTCAGAGTCATGCGCGGGGAGACCTATAATCTCACTTATAGATGTCTATTCCGGGTACGATCAATTTCCTGTGTACCCGCCCGATAGGCCGGTGACGGCGATGCACACCCCAAGGGGGCTAATCCACATGAATGTGGCCCCCCAGGGTTGGACGAATGCGCTGGCAATGGTGCAAAGACATATGATCAGGGTCATGCAAACAGTCAGTCCGCACATTACCCAGCCCTACATTGACGACTTGGCGGTCAAAGGGCCAAAAGAGAAAGAGGTGGACGAGGTGCAGCCCGGAGTGAGGCGTTTCGTTTGGAGGCATATCCAGGATCTCGATCGAGTCTTGGGATTGCTAGAGGAGTACAACCTCACTGCAAGTGGCCAAAATCCAAGCACTGCATGAGAGAAGCCACCATCCTAGGGTTTGTCTGCAACGAGAAGGGTCGGAAGCCAAACGTGAAGAAGACAGACAAAATCTTAGAGTGGTCGGTGCCTTTCCAAACCATAACGGATGTGAGAAGCTTTCTTGGTACTTGCGGATTTTGGAGGAGCTTCGTGAAGGATTTCGCCGCCAAGACTGAGCACTTAAGGAAGCTAGTGCGCCAGGACCATGAATGGGTTTGGGGCGAAGACCAGGAAGAAGCAGTGACCAGGATGAAGGTAGAGTTCAGGGAAGGAGGATTAGTACAGGGAGCACCCAATTATGAAGCGACTGAAGAAAAACCATTCATTATCGAGACAGATATCGGGCCAACTGTATTGGGAGGGGTTCTGATCCAGGCGGATGTCGAGGGAAAGGAGAGGCCGCTAAGATTCGAAAATCGTACCCTTAATACGACTGAGAGGAATTACTCTCAGCTTAAAAACGAGACGCTTGCGGTACTCCATTGCCTAAGGGTCTTTCGGAATTACGTCTTCAGCAGGAGATTTATATTGAGGGTGGACCCTACGGCGCTGGCTTGCTCTTTGAAGAATTATACACCATCTAACCCAACCGTCGCTCGATGGTTGACGTACATTTGGATGTTTAATTTCGAGATGGAAAGGATCCCGACCAACAAGAATAGGGCTGATGGCCTGAGCCGCATCAACTGGGATAGCGTGAATCAGGAGTCGACCGAAGACACCCCACCGGTCGACGGGTTCTTGGATCAGGAAGAAGATGTGCGACTCCATATAAACAAGTGGGCGTTGCGAGTACCCGGTTGTGTTAGCTATCCCATATGGATAGCACCAAGAGGATATGAGCGGAAGGCTGACTTAGTCCTTAAGCCATTTCAGGAAGAAGATCGATAGGGAGGCAAGGAGACCCAGTGGATGATGAAGTTAGCGCTGACAAGGACACATGGCTTGGTGGAAGAGGTGAGGACAATAGAGGAAGGGTCTACCCAGATAGAGGAGCATGAGCAACTTATGAGAGGAATGTATCTGCTCACTAATACGCTCTTGCAAGGAGACTTCGACCGGAGAGGCTCGTTTAGTCATGAGGGGAATGAAATCCTGATTCCGGAAAGCCAGGATGACGAGTTCGAAGAAGAGGAGATTAAGGAGGCATTCCGGGCAGAGGAATACGACGGGATCTATCTTGAGCTAGGCCTACTTCTATCCTGTGAGATGAGGGACAGGGATGCTAGCGACAAGGCGTAAAAGATGAGGCACCTCTATGTGGTGAGAGATGGGCATCTGTTTATAAAGCGGCAAGTTGGGAACCCCAAGCGGATTGTGTGTGGGAGGAACCGACAGTTGGACATCATAGCAGCATTACATGATGGTATAGCAGGAGGGCACAAAGGGATAAGAGCCACATGCGCGAAGATAAGTGAGCTATACCACTGGGATGGAATGTTGATCATGGTCATCAAATACTGCCAATCTTGTGTCCCGTGTCAAGAGAGGTCAGCGCAAAGGCCATGAGAGCCCCTGCACCCAAGGCTGGAAAGGGAGGTGGGTGCGGTTGTACACCTGGATTTATTGTTTATGCCAATTGGGGAAAATGGGTGCAGTTATATCTTCGATGCCGGGGATAACCTCACTGGGTATATGGACGGTCGGGCTATTCGAACGAAGATTGGGCCAGTTTTGGCAAATTGCATCGAGGAATACTACCTGCGCTATCCTTTCGTCAAGGAGTTTGTGATGGATCGAGGATCGAAGTTTACCTGCAATGAGGTGTGACCTTGCTCGCAGGGTATGGGGTAGTGGCGAACTACACTACGGTCGTGCACCCTCAAGCAAATGCCCCTGTGGAGAGGGGACACAGTACCATCATAAATTTTTTGGCTAAGTGGACAGAGGGCAAGCCTGGTCAGTGGCCGAAATTCCTGCGAGCGGCTTTCTTCGTGGAGAATATTACTGTGAAGAGGACCACCAAGTATGCGCCAGCCACGCTATGGTATGGGAGGCACGCCACCTTTCCTATCGAAAGCTTTATGAAGACATGGAGGCGCCAGGACTTGGAAGTAAACCTGTCCTTTGAGGAACTGCTCGATATCCGGGCACGGCAAGTGGGGGCGGCCGAAGAAAGATTGCGAGAGGCCGCCGGTCAGGTAGAGAGAAGCCGCATGGAGGATAAGATGAGGTGGGATCAAATGGCCCGGGTGCAGAAAGAGCCCTTGGCAGTGGGAGAGAGTGTACTACTATACGACTCATCCCTGGAAAAGCAGTGGTCAAGAAAACTTGACAAAAGATGGTTGGGGCCCTACAGGATTGTGCGGTGCGGCGAATTCGGGGCATACCAGATCGAAGAGCTAAACGGCACGGATGGAAAGATTGGGTATCCGGGACAAGACTAAAGAAGTTCGTGGCCAGGGAATAGTTAAAGCCGCAATCCCTCCCAGTAACTGCGATCCCTCCCAGAGTAGACCCTCGTCCTAAGTATTGCATGCCGTGATTGGAAGCGAAGAGAGGCTTGATGTGTCTGAGATTTGGGTGTACATTTCCTCTGAAGACTGCTGAACCCAAATGTTGATCCTGTTGTGTGCCTGTTTGTTTCGTTTGGCCTGATGTGCAGGTCTGACTTTTTGAAGGCAGCCATGCAGAGGGGCGAACGGGGCACGCGGCCACGACAGAGACCTCTCGGGGTATCCGGAGGGGAGGAGCGGCATGGGCCCTTCAGGAGAGAGCCCACACCCGTGTTTGATGACGACAACATCGAGCTCTTCTTGGACGCCTACCGAGAGCATGCAGCCCAGAGAGGATGGGACATGTCCGAGAGGGTACGTCACTTAAGGGGGGTTGGGAGGTTCGAGGAGCCCATTGCGCAAATCAGGGAGGAGGCCCTGACTTGGTCGGAGGTGGAAGCGAGAATGCAGAGACTGAGAGCTTCACCTTTAGGGAATGATGGGCTACCCATTCCCTTGGAGGAAGGGAACATGGAGGAGTTCATCCCGGCATACGAACAGTATATGAGCGATTAGGGGGTTCCAAGGGATGAATGGGTGCAGGCGTTACTCATTTGGACAAGAGGAGCGGAGCGTCCGCTAGCAAGACAGATCCAGGGTCGGGCACGAGATTGGGAGGATTGTCGGGCTCAATTAAGGGTGGCGTTTCGGCGACCGGAACCAGAGAGGCCAGAACCAAGGGTTGATAGAAGGCGGCGAAGCAAGAGGTTAAGGGATTTGGAGGCAAGAGAGCTGGTGGCATCGAAAGGTGGCCGGAAGGCCCTGGCACAGCGGGAGGAAGGACAAGCAGGGCCAACTAGGGCGAGGGAGTCCTTCCCTGCTTGTGGCCTCAGGCAGGTAGAGTTCCATCAAGTCACAGAGGACGACCTACTAGGGCCCTCACCACAAGCACCAGAGCGGAGGGAGAGCAAGGTACCAGCAGCACTGTTCAGGAGTCTGGAGGCCCACTTGAACGCATCCCAGTGGGAGGCCCCTTCAGCAAGAGAGAACCCTACGGACCCATCAGGAGGGGAGCAGACTCGCCCAGAGCCCGAGACAGAGCCACTTAGATTGAAAGGGGTAGGTGCGAAAGATGTCATCATGGTGGAAGGTGATACTCCCTCTGACTCCCCAGCTCGAGCTCAGACACGGCGGTCTTGGCCAGAGGGCGTCCTGGAGCCAGACAGCCAGGAAGCCCCTGTACCACCACCAGAGGCCACTATGTCACCCAGGCAGGAGGTTGAGGCGAGAGGGCCGATGGAAGGGTGGAGGACGGAGCCGCGCCTGGTTGTCCACTCACGTTTAGCCGCGCACACAGCTGAGCACCCTGACATTGAAGGGCCCAGCTTGGTTGGGCCATCATCGGGGCCAGCACGTACTGAGTTAGAGGAGGGCTCGCAAGTTGCGACTGGGGGAGTCACGGAGGCAGGCACAGGGAAGGAGCCAGACAAGGCCGCCCAAGCAAATCATGCCAGGGTACGAGCTCGCCTTGCGGAGATACATGAGCGAAGGGACAGGATGGAGGCTGCAGGGGTAGCGCCAAGGCCACCAGTCGCCCCAAAGACAAGTGAACAGAGGATTGACGAGTAGTGGGCCAGATATGAGGAGCGGAGAGAAGCAGCTTGCCAGAGGGCACGGTAGACAGGCCAGGCGATTGAGGGTGCAGACGAGGCGATAGAGGTTGGAGAGTTGGGTTTTGCCGCCACTAGAAGGCCATCGAGTGGGTGGACAAGGAGATAAAGCAGACATCCGTCGAGGCCTTTCAAAGGTACTCCCTGCTTAGTGATGAATTGGCCCTCAGGAAAGACGAGGTGGAACAGCTGACTGCCCAACTCGCATAGGAGAGGGCCGACAACAGGGCCAGGCAAACTCGCCTGGAGGCGAAGGAGGCTGAGTGGGAGGCAAAACTCAAGGAAATGGTGGCCACAGTGGTAAGACTTGTCGCCACCAAGGTGATTGACTGGACTGAGCAGAGCAGGTACGGCATCCAAGGCAAGGAGGTGCAAGGGTTGTTTGGCCAAGAGGAGGCAGCAGAGGCATCTCGACAAGAAAAGTTGGGGAAGGTATTTCTGGACCCAGCTGAGGCAGAGGCAAGGAAGGAAGCCAACAAGGGAAGCTTTGAGTTCAAGGCTCCCACTGAGCTGGCTTCACAGCAGGAGGCCGCTACTTCGGCAGATACTCCTATGGAGGCGCTGACCCAAGAACCCCAACCTGCATCAGTAGAAGAGGGGGAGGCTGAGGAGTCACTGGCAATCCTTCTGGACGTACAGGAGGGAACTCTCACTGAAGCGGTGGAGCCTCCACATCTTGAGGCACAGGGGGAGGAGCCATCACGCTTGGACGAGTTGGTTGCTGCCATGGAGGTAGATATGCCGCCAGAGGAGCCTCGGGAGCAGAGGACCCTAGAGCACGAGCCAGATATGGGGGAATTGAGGGCACAACTGGGCTCATGGGCCACTGGGACCGATTCGGGAGGACCGACTACTGATCGGCGGCAGCAGGAGGCCACGAGCCAGCCTACTAGGGCCGCTACCCCCCAGACTCCGAGGCCTCGTGAGGGTGAGGAAGCAACTACGGCAGGGAAAACCCGCGAGGGCAGACCGCTGAGGCTGGATACCCCTGAGTTCTGACCTGAGGAAGAGATGCAGCCAGGGGAGTCAAGTGCCCAGGGAATCGAAGGAGGAGATGAGGGGCCGTGGCACCTACCTCAGAGTCATGAAGTGGGAAAGGAGACAAGAGGAACGCCTCCGTTGTCAGGAATCCAGAAAAAGAAGAAGAGATTTCAAAGGAAATCAGGGGCTATGTGTTTCTATTTTCTGGACGGAGTGTATAGGGCCCTGGAGTGTCCTAAGTTCCTTAAGGACAAGGCTGAGGGGTGGGTTACTGAGGAAGATGGCAAGATGTATGATAGACAGGGCCGAGTGGTAGAAAGGGCTCCGAATGGGGATCGGGCCCAGTTGTATAAGCAAAACCAGGAGGAGATGAGCGAGTGAGGGACTGGTTCGCCTATACGCCGGTAGAAGTGAGGTGTTTTCTGTACGTAGAAAGAGTAAAGCCAAGGGCATAGGGTGTCACGAGTCGGATACGTGTATCTTAGGGTGTTGCCTGCGACAAAGGACCAATGTACAATAAGGTTTGAGGTTCTGTCCGTATTCTGATCTCAGGGAACGAGACTCGGTTGTGTGATACTTAGGACACCCGATTGTATTTGCTTTTTTTGTTGTTTTTGAGCTCAGAGCCCACCTATAGATGATGTGAGAGTCAGTAACACCTAGGGTATGAGCCCACTGGAGATGAGAGGGGGCAGGACATCTGAGTATTGATGATGAGATTTGAGAGACACTCTATCGTTGAGTATATACTGAGTTGGGACTTCGAGGCTACTCCCCTATGCATGACGATCACTCTCACTCTCACATGTGTGGCTTTCCTATGTATGATGATTTGTGTGGGATTTGTATAACAAACAACTCATATGTTTATGCCTTGTGAGTGAATGTAAACTATCTACTCTTTGGTATACTCGTGCGACCTGCCCATAGGCAGATGCTAGAGCCAAGTATAAGGAGAGGGAGTGCAGTCTGTCTTGTGGAAAAGAGTTGTAAAAATCATAAAGGGTCTATGAGTCTTTGGGACTCGAAAGTTTATCATGCCAAACGTTCAAGTATCTAAGTTGTATTAGGGACCCATAAGTTGGCCCCTTGTGTTGTACTATTGCCATGATTGAATTGTTTGGGAGACTTATCTCCAGAAAAGGAACATGTTTTACACATGTCATGTGAGAACCCATCCTAAGGAAGAGAGGGATGGCTGACAGACCTATTGCGTGAGACCTCCCCCATAGGGAGGATGATTAATAGATTTGATGGCATGAAAAGTTGGGTTGGTAAGATGAAATACTGACGAAAGGAACCAGGTTTTACTGACCACTCGGTGAAATTTCTTGAGAACGTCGCAAAAATGTTTGCTTTTGAGAGGTGTCCCTGAGATGTGTGACCCTCTTACCCTGATCGAGTTAGGGAGTCACGGCCTGGTGGATCTGGCGGTGCCTTATGGTTGTGAATGTGGAGAGGTGGCTATGTCCTCGCTGTGTTGTCCCACAGAGAGCTGGTAAATGCCTGTCATGTGTGACAAGCCTATGCGCAGTCCCGCAGTAGTCATGTATTTGTTGCGACGCACCGTCCGACCACTCGTGCTAACCGGGTAAAGGTCGTCCAAGTAGGTAGGGTGAGTGCGCGCATAGGTTCAAGGCGCGCGTGTGATTTTGCCCTTTTGATCGTGCCGCTGGCAAAGACGTCCGGCTTGACCTCTCGCCCTTGATTAGGCCAAGGGTTAGTAGGTTGACCCTTGGTCGCCCTATCTGACCGGCGGCAAGGTCGGTAGGTGGGGTGGTTCGCAAGGTGGCGTGGTTGCGCAGCAGCCGTGCGCTTGCCCATAGATGAGGAGGAGCCTGCGGGCATGTCCCAGCCTTAGGAGCCGGGCTGCACCCCTTTATGTGGGATGCAGCGCCCGTTGTTTCCAGGCTAGGGCTTAGCCCTACAGGTAACGGTGCAGGGTTATTGTCGGGGAGGTTCGTGGATCGAGGCCAGTAAGCGGCGGTGCGGGAGCGGCGGAGCAGCGGAGCGGCGAGGAAAAGTCGAGGGGTTGAGGGCCGCCAGGGCTATCCCCCTCAGCTTTTGCCGATACGAATGGCGGCGGACCCGACCTACGTGGCTAACCGGGCTGCGACAGCCCCTGTACCCCTAAAGACCCGACGTTATGGGCTTGTACTCCTACTTTTATTTTTATTTATATATATATTTTTTTATTTATTCGTTTTGGGGGCCTGGCATACAGCCCGCGGTTGGATTAGGCAGAGAAGAGGCATGCCATAGCCCTCCGCCCATAGTAGGTCGCGGAGTACTGCCCCGGGAAATTGAAATGATACAGAGAGAATTAGTGTGGCCATCTGCGCCAGAGCGAAGCGCATAAATCGGCGAGAGTGTCCGACAGCCGACTGGTTTGTGGCTGATCGTTGTCGGACCTCGCAGCGCAGGAAGAAGTCGGGCGGTGGGGCATCAACTGGGGTATAGTGAGTGGAGGCCAAGGTGGGTTGGGCAGCGGAGAGTGGCCAGGCAAGGAGGGCGGAGACTCACGGGCGGGGAAGCACGTTGTTCAGGGAAGAGAAGGCTCCGACAGACCGCAGTTGGGCAACGGGGCGGAGCGGCAAGAAGGAGAAATGAATCTGGACAGGCGGGCGCGCAAGGTGCGTACACAGAGGGAAACGGCGATGGAGGAGGCGGGCTGGAGAGTGCCGATCTCACCCGCTTCCTAGCAAAAACGGGCAGGGTCGGACTCGAGTTGGGGGTTCTTGGGCTTGACAACTTCTAAAGTCAGAATCAACAGTAGGTTAGTAGAGTAGAGGTCACCCGAGAAAACTACTGCGCCGCGAGATGGCAGATAAGGGGAGAGGGACGAGCTAATTCGGCCAGTATAAAGCCGATTTCGACGATCTAGAGTACTGTCCGGGGGTTTGTGGGCGAGGCGACTCTAGTGGTGGAATTAGAATTGGCAACGGAATAGCAGAGCGCGAGGTTGGTAGAAGGAGAGGGGCGCGGAGACAGTCGAGAGAGAGAGGAGTGGGTGAACCTTGGCGGGAATCTGCGCCAGGTACGTTCAGTAAGGTAAGGCCGAAAGCCATAAGCAAGGAAGTAGCGGGGAGCGAGTCAAGTGGGTGATATTGTGAGCTATCGAAGTGCGGCCTGGTCAACGCGCCGTTCACTCTGTTGAGAGGACGCAGCAAGCGGGTGGGGACTGCGAGAATTCACTAGCTGGAGTATCGCCTGTCGGGCTGCGCAAGATAGACAAGAGGGGGGCGACGGGCTTGCATACCTATGTGTAAGCTTAGATGCTACCGCCCTGCCGAGTGAAGTGGTGGTGAAACCGAGAGGGGGCAGCTATGGAGGTGGTGCGGAGGTAAGGCAAAGCGCACGCGAGCCCCTATGGTATCGAACGAGGAAGGGACGGTTTCGGAGCAAGGCCAGTACTCCGGGGTGCTTACTAAAGATTTACTACCAGTCCGCTCCGTCGTGCGGCCAAGGGAGAGAATGTGAGAACCGCGCAGACCAGAGATTACCTGAGAAATAGTGTGCTACAAATCTCTGGCAGTGGAAGTAGCGTGAGGCTGCCGGCGAGGAAGGAGGTTGCGCAGTATGAGTACCTGGCCGTGCCTAGCTGAAGGTTCGATCGATCCTGCTCAGCCTATGGAAACAGCTTGAGGCCAGTCGTACAGCCGTATGTCTACCTGTTGGTCAACGCTCTATTTGGCCTGTCTTGCTGAGGTTGCGGGGAGGAGGATCGAACCTGTCRRTGCTGCTGGTAGTGACAAACTGGTGTAAGTCGAGATTTYAACTGAACKGCTGTGTACCTAACCGCACTCTTGCGACAGATTTGTTGGAGACTCATCCTTCAGATTGGTAGATGTAGGACAGGCTCAAATAGGGAGGGATGAGTACTAGAAGTGAAGGGGGGGGGTGAGCCTACCTGGGGCCTAGCGGGAAGACTCACTTCTCARTCTGTAGGRCCGAGTGGGTGGTGGGGTGGAAGCGAGGCAGGWCAAATGCACTTAACTGGCGGGCTCTATGGCAATTCGACGCTGGAATAGGGACGACTGGCATTCTGGGGCAATGATTCTGGCCTCGATTCTCTGGCCGGATACGGGCATGGGCCGACCGCAGGGTTTACAGTATGGGAGACTGGTGTTAATCAACAGGGTATGACTCCGGAGCCCACAACAAATGAGATTCTGGTTAACAAGGCGACATCTTCGCGGACGAGCCGGACATACAAAAGGGGAGCGTTTCTCTGTGTGACCGGCTACAGCTGCGGAGTGTGGCCGCTGGTGCTGGGACTCTGGACAGTGCTGCCGTAGGGACCGGGGCGGCTGTTAGGAAGCCGAGCTGCTGCATACTGTCGTTGGTTGTCGTGCACTTCTGAGTGTTGCATCTGTTGTCCGACACGAGCTACGGCTGCCCCTGCTTGACAGCACGCAGGCTAGGACCAGCTACTGGCGGCTGCGAATCGTCGTTGCCGGCTGCTGGTTGCCGCTGTGTATTGTGAAGGTTGTTGTTGAAATGGACCATGCGCGTCCGTTGAACTTGCCTGACTATGCCCCACCTGGTACCGGCTGCTGCTAAAGCCTGCTCTAGCTGCTATTGCATTTGTTTGACTGGGCACAGCTGCTGGTGGCTGTTGCTGAGCCAGCACGAACTACGGTCGTGACCATTGACTGTGCGCAAGCCTATGTTGACTGTTGCCGATTGTTGCTGTGTGTTGCGGCTGCGTCTGTGGACTGTGTACGGACTACAGGCAACTGCGCGCTACTGCATACCACCGCCGGCAGTGGCCGACCGTTGCGGCCGGCTGTGCAGCAGCGGTTGCTGAGCCTACTACGGGTTGCTGCAGTGCCTGGAGTGTGGACGTGCAGTGGCAAGTGACCGCAGTTGGGTCGGAAGGAAGGCTGTTGTCGTGAGGTTCGGAGAGTGGGGCAACGCAGGAGGGGAAGTTATCGCTGCGAATCGGAGGTCTGCCAGGAGAGTCGGGGTCTGCAATTTGGCTTTGGGAGCTAACCAAGCTGTTACATTGGCCGCCCTTGTGGGGCCCTCAGGCGCTGAAGGTATCAAGGCCCTCTCACGCGAGTCTGAGCGCACCCTTCTTGTATCTGAGAAACTTAATGCTTCTTTTTCTGCCCTTCTCACTCTCAATCTAGTCCATTGGTTTGGAGAGGCAGGCGGCAGGCGGGATTGCAATCCGTAATCCGCGTCAAGGCCTTTGTGGGAGGTTGCCCCACCGATTGCGGGAGCCCTGCCGGAACTTAGGAGGAGTTCTGGAGGCAAGGAACTCAGAGATAACCATTGCTTCCTTTACAAAGCCAGTCTAACCCCTATTTATACCTCTCCCTATGTTTTGGCTGACTGTATTGAATGCCACCCTTACTTTGACTTTGAGTTGACTTCAGGACATAAATCAGACTAACTAAAGGAATACTTGTATAATGGCAGTTTCAGTTTCTTGTTTGTCTAAAAGCAGA